CTTCCTTCCTTCCTTCCTTCCTTCCTTCCTTCCTTCCTTCCTTCCTTTCAACTTTCTTTGTAGTATTGGAGCCTGAACCTAGGCATCATACACACTAAACAAGGACTCCATTCCCAGCCTTTCCCCCAGTATTTTTTTAAAAGTTTTTAAGGATTGTTAAGTTATGTAATTTTGTGTATTTGTATGTATATGTGTGTAAAAATGTGTTGCAGGGTTTAATGTGGAAATCAGAGAGCAACTTTTTGATCAGTTCTCTCCTTTCAGCCTGTGAGTCCCAGGATCAGAACTCAGGTCATTAGACTTAGCAGAAAGTGATTTTACCCCCAAGGGTTTCACCCATGAAAACCATCTAACTAGCCCTGTTTGTTTTTCTGCATTATTATTTGTATGTGGCAGTTGGTGCGTACATGAATACCACACAGCACAAGCATCAGAGATCAGAGGACATTTTGGGAGGTGATTCTCTTCTTCTACCATGTGAAACCTGGGGACTAAACTCAAGTTCTTAGGGTTAATGGCAGAGGCCCCTACTCTGGATTCTCGTCCTTCAGTGTGATGTCTCTGCCTTGCCAAGAGCTCCAGAACTGGAATGGCATCCACCATGTGGGCCTTACCATAGTTGAGCTGTGTATTTTGAAACCTCCAAAACTGTAAGCAAACTAAATCTTTTTCCTTGTATACTACCTAGCCTTGGATATCTTATTGTGGCAACAGAAAGGGAGATTAATAGAGGAGCCAACCTGGTCACTTTCTATATGCTATTTTCACTAGTCAAGTAAATTGGACTTGTTCCAAGCAAGCCAAGGCTATATAGTAAGAAAACAAAACAAACAAACAGAAACACCCTGAAAACATGCTAGTTTTGGAACAATACCTAGGAAAAGTTATGGCATCAGAATTCTGCCACCTGGTATTTATATACAGTAATTCAAGACCAAGCTGAAATCCTAATGGTTATTCTCTTAAGCAAGCAACTTACCCAAATAGGAAGGATGAATAAGATCTGCTGTATCCTTTTCTAATTTCAGAAGTTCAATTTCCAGGTTGTTCTACATGAGGAACAAAAGGAAAGTTTAGCTCACTCAGAAAGCGTCCTAAAGTTTTTAAAGGCTTAAAAGACTGATAAAATGGACATGCTACAGAAACACAGTATAAGACATTCCCATTCCTTAAATGGGATGGAAGGATGGTTTATATAAAAGCCAAAGTAAGTCATTAGAGCCTTTCATTTTGGTGTCTTGCCTTCCTGTTATTTTTTTTTATTTTAAAATTTATTTATTATATATACAATATATTCTGTCTGTGTGTATGTCTGCAGGCCAGAAAAGGGCACCAGACCATTACAGATGGTTGTGAGCCACCATGTGGTTGCTGGGAATTGAACTCAGGACCTTTGGAAGAGCAGGCTATGCTCTTAACCACTGAGCCATCTCTCCAGCCCACTGCCTTCCTGTTATTACAATTAAATACTACAACAAGCCACACACTAGGCACTGTTTTAATTGCAAAAGAATGCTATTCCAACAATTGAGAGGATTTTTGTTTGTTTGTTTGTTTTAGAGTTAGGTATCAAATCCAGGACATCTTGTAGGTTAGGTACCACATTTCCTCTGAACTACACCCTAGCATACTACACTCTTTTTTAAATGGAGTAGAAATGAAAAGCTCATAATTTACCTGGTAGATTTTAGCTTTCATGTCTGAGATCTTCTGTGATCTGGAGAAGTTCTCAAAGCAAGGAACCATTTTCTTAGATGTACCTAACATCTCCTATTGGTAAATGAACAAAGAAAGCACAGTAAGCTACAAAAATCATGTACACTAGAGTATCACACACAAAGGACTAAAATAACATTATGTCGCCAGCACTCCAAAGGCCTGTGCTGCAGGAGGAGGGCCCACTTGTTCATCCTAGCCGCCCGGCTAGCTTAGCCCCAAAATAATCATACAGAAACTGTATTAATTAAATCAGTGCTTGGCCCATTAGCTCTAACTTCTTACTGGCTAACTCTTACATTAATTTAACCCATTTCTATTAATCTATGTATCGCCAAGAGGCTTACCGGGTAAAATTCCCAGTGTCTGTATTGGGGGATCCATGGCTTCTCACTGACTCTGTCTCCTTTCTCCCAGCATGCCATTTAGTTTTCCCTGTCTACCTAAGTTCTGCCCTATCAACAGGCCAACGCAGTTTCTGTATTCATTAACCAATGAGAGCAACACATAGATAGAAGGACCTCCTACACCAAGCCTGGTCTACAGAGAGAGAGAGTTCCAGAACAGTCAGGGCCACACAGAGAAACCCTGTCTTAAAAAAAAAAAAACCAACAAGATAGAATAAAATAAAAGTTACATGTCCAAAACTACACCTAACACAAAGAACATATTAAAACTATAGCAATGCATATCTTCTGTTTCTATTTTATTTTGATAAGGACTGATGGAGCCCAAATTAGCCTTGAGCTTGCTACAGACAAAGGATGACCTTGAACTTCTGACCCTCCTGATTCTACTTCTCAAGTGTACAGCATAACATCAGGCTTTTGTGCATATGTGCACACACTGGAATGCATGTTTTGTGTATGTATGCTCGTGTACATTTGTATATGTGCGCATTTATGTGGTAGCCAGAAGTCAACCTTTGGTGTCTTTCTCTATTATTTCTCCATCATTTAGAGGCAGGTAAATTAGGAGATAGTTAGCCTAGGACTCTACTTGGTTTTTGCTATGAACAATTTCCACTTGTAACAGTGTACTTGGCACACTAGGTCTTTTCTTTGTGCATACTAAGTACATGTACTTTCTCTTCAAACAATGTACATTGCAACCTTAGAATCCTCTAAAACTCCTCAGTTGCACTGCTCTACATGAACTCCCATGACTGAATAATATAGTTTCTCTGTCTATAGCAACAAACAAGTTTAGGCCATGTCTGTACAAGTATATTCCTAAAGGGCATGAAGAACATTTTGGCCTGAACTGCATGTGCAGAAAGGCAGACAACTGAGTCCTCTGGTAAACTTTTAGGGGAGAGCCTGTTTACTATCATATGCCTATGCATAAATGGGTATATGTCTTAGGAACTTTTCTCTTGCTGTGATGAAATACATAATCAAAGCAACTTACAAAATAAAGTGTTTAATTTGTGTTTTCATTTTCAGAGAGTTAGAGCCCATAACTGTACTAGTCAGGGTTCTCCAGAGGAAGAGAACTGACAGAATGACTTTATTTATCTATAAAAAGGGGATTTATGAGAGTGGCTTTCAGGCTGTGGTCCAGCTAGTCCAACAATGACTGTCTACCAACAGAAAGTCCGCGAATCCAGTAGCTATTCCGTCCACAAAGCTGGATGTCTCAGCAGGTCTTCAGTATGCCAGGACATGAAGAAGTAGGCCCTCATGACAGTGAGGAATGAAGCTGACAGCAAGAACAGGGGCAAGCAGGCAAAGAGCAAGCACTTCCTTCTTCCTCGTCCTTATTATATAAACCACCATCAGCTGGTGTGGCCCAGATTAAAGGTAGATCTTCCCAACTCAAAAGATCCAGATTAAAGGTGGATCTTTCTACTTTAAACGATTTATTCAGAAAAATCCCTCCAGGCAGTGGTGGTGCTTGCCTTTCAACCCAGAGGCAAAGGCAAGCAGATCTCTGAGTACAAGAATAGTCTGGTCTACAGAGTGAGTTCCAGGACAGCCAGGGCTATCCAGAGAAAGCCTGTCTTGAAAAATCAACCAACCAGTAAAACAAAACAAAACAAAGACCAAACCTTTTCCAGGTGGATCGCTGTGAATTCAAGGCCAGGCTGGTCTACAAAGAGTTCCAGGACAGACAGATCTGTCATATAGAGAAACCCTGTCTTGAAAAATAAAAAAATAGAGGGCAGAGAGATGGCTCAGAGGTTAAGAGCTCTTCCAGAGGTCCTGAGTTCAATTCCCAGCAAACACATGGTGGCTCACACCATCTACAATGAGATTATTGCCCTCTTCTGGAATGTACACGTACATGTCAGAACAATGCATACATAATATGAATAAATAAATCTTAAAAAAAAAAAACAATGTCAAAGCCAGAACCTGGAAACAGCCTAAACATCCCTCGATTGAAGAATGGATTAGAAAAATGTGATTCATTTACACAATGGAATACTACACAACAGAAAAAAAATAACAACAGCTTAAATTTTACAGGAAAATGGATGGAGCTAGAAAACATTATTTTCAGTGAGGTAACCCAGACACAGAAAGACAATTATCAAATGTACTCACTCATAGGTGGATTTTAAACATAGAGCAAAGAAAGCCAGCCTACAAACCACAATCCCAGAAAACTTAGACAACAATGTGGACACTAAGAGAGACTTACATAGATATAATCTACATGGGAAGTAGAAAGTATAAAAAGACAAGATCTCCTGAGTAAATTGGGAACATGGGGACCTTGGGGGAGGATTGAAGGGGGAAAGGTGAGGCAGGAAGGGGAGCAGAGAAAAATGTAGAACTCAATAAATATTAATAAAAAAATTGAAAAAAAAAGTAAAAAGAAAGCTAGAGATATAGCTCAGTGGTAGAGTACTTGCCAAGTACGCACAAGGGCCTGGAATCAATCCCTGGTACAACAAAAAAGATAGAGAACCCAAAGCATTTTCAAAATGAAAAGCTTTGTCGAAATCCCCTTATCAGACTTAATTTCAGTCTCCACAGACAGAGAAGAAATACACTTTTCTCATGCTTGAGCAGTGAGGTGGAAAGGAAGATGATGTGTGTCATGCCCAAAGTCTGGGAATTCCTTGAGAAATGGAACTACTAAGAAAGTGTCATCTTGACATTTCACAATTTCCTTATCTTATGTTTCCGTTGTTCTTTTGCAAATAGATCTCGGACTGTTCCTAAAAACACACACTCAACCTAACAGGTACTACAAAAGCCACAAAAAGCTGTGAGAAATTCTACATAAGAAACCAGAACTGCCCGCCACCACAGTGACATATTTTATTTATGTTTTAATAAAGTTTGCCTGAATATCAGAAGGGCAAGGCTAAGCTACTAGAGGTCAGGCAGTGGTGACACACACCTTCAATCCCAGGATTTGGGAGACAGAGGCAAATGGAATCTCTGTGAGTTCAAGACTACCCTGGACTATACAAGATCAACGCAGAAACAAATCCAGGTGGTGGTGCTTCACCTTTAATCCCAGTACTAGGGAGTCATGCCTTTAAAAAAAGAAAAGAAAGAAAGAAAAATAAAAAAAGAGAGAGAGAGAGATAAAGAAAAATCCCTCAAGGGTGTCAAGCCTCTGTTTTAGTTGATTCCACAATGTAGTCAAGTTGACAACCAAGAGCAGCCATCACCAGTCTACCCCTTGTCAACTTGACACACAGTAGTGCTTCTGTCATGTTTAATTTTCAAATGAAAACAATAAGCAAATCATAATTATAACTAACACGATATAACTATCACATGTACAATTGCAAATACATTATAAATTTTAGAAGAGGTGGCAATGTCCCTGGGGGGGATATTCTTTTAGTATCTCAAAACGTAAATATGATAACCACTGATAGTCTCGTAATTGACATTACATGATAAAGAAATCAAGGAAAGAAAACACAAATATTTGCACAAACACTTTCTTAACAAAATATAACAGAAACAATTAGAATCCTTGTTTCTTTAACTGATCACACGGCCTTAGCTGGTATTTATAACTGCCTTCTTTTACTACCCATTCTGTATTTCCTCCACCCGCAGCAGGTCCTGGTTCTTTTTCTGGAGGGGTGACCCATACACTCAGCCCTGATGGGTCTATGCCTTCCTGGATTAGGCCACTGTAGTTTCCCACTGCCTTTAATCACAGAACTTGGTAGAACCAAGAGATGCCCTAAAGGATCTTCTGCACTCCAGACATAATACTTTAACCTCCATCATGGAGAAGCAATCTAATTTCTCCTTGGTAATTTAGACCGGTCACCCCTCCTAACACTGTTACTCCTTTCTTAGCCTGTTGGCGTAAGGGCATCGGAAGCCTAAAGTGAGCAGAGGAAAGTCTGAGCTTCCTGTCAATGGAATGTTTGTTATGTTTCCTGGCAGGAACACTCCCTGCTCTGAAACCAAAATTTCTAAACCAGCAGAACTTAAAGGTTACAGGATTAGGTAGCAAAAATTTTCCTAGTGGGTCACTAGGAGTGATAGTGAAGGGGATCATTCCCTTTCCCACCCCTTGATTCTTGGACCCATGGATCCTGGCTATGGGAGAAACCGTATTATACATTGGATGCTGATTCAAAGTATACACAGCCCTCTGGAGAACCCTATCCAAGTCCTCAGGCTGCTGCCACCTAACTGGAGCTGTAACCGTGTCTTCAAAAGGCCATTCTACTGTCCTATCAGGCAGCTGGTGGGGAACATGTTCAGACCAGTGGATTCCTTGACTGGGAGCCCACGGTTGTCTTTCTCTGGCTATGAAGTGAGTTCCTTGGTCAGAAGTAATAGTGTGCGGAATACCAAGAGAGTGGAAAAGGCATTCTGTAAGTACATTGATGGTAAGCTTTTGGCAGAAGCATCACATGCTGGAAAAGGCAAATCTATAACCAGAGCAAGTATCTACTCCACTAAGGACATAATGACAGAAGACACTGAAAGATATTCTAATCAGTCATCAGGCAAAGAAGGGAAGAATGAAACATTTTCTGGTGAGGCAGTCCCATGACATGACATGCACAATACATATTTTAGAAGTTCGATATTTAGATAGGTGGTTGCTACAGTATTCCAGGCAAAATGATGAAGATGTGTACAAGGTTAATAACAGTTAAAAAGGAAAGTGAAGGGCTGGAGAGATGGCTCAGTGGTTAGGAGTACTTGCTGCTCTCCCAGAGGATCCAGGTTTAATTCCTAGCACCCACATGGCAGCTCACAACTGTCTGTGATTCCAGTTCCAGGTACCCCACCTTCATACAGACACACACATTAGAAAAGAAGGAAGGAAGGGAGGGAGGGAGGGAGGGAAGGAGGGAAGAAAGAGAAGCAGGTGCAAGAGGCTGAAGCAAGATCACGAGTTTGTGGCCAGCCTGGGCTATATAGCCAGACACAATCTCAAACAGCAAGACTGGAGGTAGGATGTAATTCAGTGAGAGAATAAAAGGTGCTTGGCATGTATGAGACCCTTGGTTCAATCCCAATAAATACCATGTAATTTCCATATATATATATATATATATATATATATTTGCAGTCTGTAATATTTTCCTCATGTTTAATGCTAGCTAAGGGGCAGTCAAAAAGAGACATTATAGCAAAGAAGTTAAAAGCTGAGGCTCTCACGGGAGAGTACATGGATTCTGCAGAAGAGGACAGACATTGAGGAAAATCTAACAGAAGATTCTGAGGTCAGTCTCCTCCCAGATACCTTCCTCATTTATGCATGGCCCATAACATCTCATGGCTCACTCGATCTTGCCAGAAACATACCAAAGATGTAAGGTCACTAAAGCAATTCTAGGAACATAACCAAATGAAAATATGTCACTATCTTTCAAATAGTTAAACCTACCTTTCTTTCACCACCTAGTCACCCTCCAATAGATAGATCAAGCAGAACAAAGGTCACAGAAGCTGTTTTCTAGAGGAGTAGCACTGGACCACAATGTTAGATATCACTCTTAAAATTGTGTGGGGCTGCTGGAGATTGACCAAGCTAGGGCCTCACAAATGCTAGGCAATCACTCTAATGCTAAGCTACACCCCCTACTCATCGTCTTTAACCTTTTTTTTTTCCCGAGACAGGGTTTCTCTGTGGCTTTGGAGCCTGTCCTGGAACTAGCTCTTGTAGACCAGGCAGGCCTCAAACTCACAGAGATCCGCCTGCCTCTGCCTCCCGAGTGCTGGGATTAAAAGCATGCGCCACCATGGCCCGGCTTCGTCTTTAACTTTCAAAATTAAATAATTTTTAATTTATGTGCAAGTGTGTGTGTCTATGCTAACTATGTGTGTCAACCATGGAAGTCAGCAGAGGGTGTCTGATGCCCAGGAGTCAGAGTTACAGGCGCTTATGAGCTGCCTGAGGTGGGTGTTGGGAACCAAACTCAGGTGCTCTGGGAAGAGCGAGTGCTTTTTACCCAACACATCTCTCCAGATCCCACTTCTAACTGTTAATGTACACAAATGATGTGCTCTACAGGGATAGGATGTTTAAGTAAATCATAAGACGAGTCATGCTGCAAGTGTGTTTCAGTAGTCAGCACTTGCTTTGCATGAGAAATGTACTAGGTTGTGTCCCCAATGACGGAAGAAAAAAAAGTATCTTAAGTTTTCATATGTAAAGTCTTAGAGTCAAATCAACCTAGAAGTCTCTAAGTAGTTTCTTCTTGAGAGAAACTCTTCAGTAAGACTTTAGAAGGATGTTTATTAAGTAACCGTGGAGTGGCAGATTTTAAAACAAGAAACTGGCTAATGTGTGTTACCTAGCAATAGGAAAACGACCATAAAACCACTACCACCCAAACAGGTACCACCTAAAAGTCACTCTTCCACCAATGTCTGAGATCATCTATGGGTGCCTTCCTTCTGTGGTTAAGGAACCGTGTCCCCGATCAACACTTTGTAGAGGGGCACTGAGTCTCAAATGTGTTAAGCTAGGAAATAATCCGAAGTTTTATGACATGAGAACTGCACAGTGCAAAGTGGGAAAGCAGACAATGTGGGGAGAGCGAGGAAGGGCTAAGCTGGAGCCCTGCTCTAGCGCCTGTGAAAGCCCAGACACTCACAGCAAGGCTGGGTCTCCAGGGAACATCAGTCTCAGCACAGTTTGCCCTTACTATTTAAGATTAGACAGAGTCTTGCTGTGGCCACCATGCCTGACTGCTCACAAAAGGAGAGGGTTCTGGGATCTAATTCTGTCACCTTGCTGCGTCTTTTGGGGTAATTCTTTTTTGCTTGAGACAAGGTCTCCTCACTCTGTACTTGAACTCTGAGCAATCTTCCTGCTTCCACAGCTCCCAAGTGCTTAGATTACAAGTCTTGCATTGACGCATCTGGTTGTCTGTTTCTTCTTAAACACTTTAGGATATCAGCAGTTTCTAACACCTCTATCACAAATTTTAAAAAAAGCCTTCTATCAAGTCTGCATTACTAATTTCTACAGATGAATTACTAACTTTCTTCAACTTCCTTTTTATTTTTGTTTTTTGGAGACAGGGTTTTTCTGTCTGTCCTGGAACTCACTCTGTAGACCAGGCTGTCCTCGAACTCAGAGATCCACCTACCTGCCTCTGCCCTGGAGTGCTGGACTTAAAGGAGAGAGCCATCATATCTGGCTTCAAATACTTCTTTTTCCTTCCCTTTAATCTTAAATTCCTTAGTGTCTCCCTATTCCTTTCTGTCATTTTCTATTATTACTTCACATATTCAATTTCTCCCTTTTCTGTCTCCCTCCTTGACGTGTGTACATGTCTAAAACAACCACTTCTTGGGCTAATCTTTATTCTCCTCTCAAAATCAAACGCTTCCCCTATTCACACTCCAACACACACATACACAAACACACACACACACACACACACACACACCTTTAAAAGATGCTCCAACAAAAAAATCTCCAAATGAAGTTCTGTACTTAGGGCCTCCTGCCCCAAACATACTTTAATAATTTCCATAAATAGACGTTGTCGGAAATGCTCGTTTTAAGTACCAGCCAGTATTTCTTTCTCACTGCCCCCACTCTACAGTCTAGTGCAACGGTTCTCAACCTGTGGCTTGCAACCCCTCTGGGGGTTGAACGACCCTTCACAGGGGTCGCCTAAGACCGTCGGAACACACGGGTGTTTACAGTACGATTCATAACAGTAGCAAAATTACAGTAATGAAGTAGCAACGAAAATAACTTTATGGTCGGGGGTCACCGCAACATGAGGAACTGTATTAAAGGGTTGCAGCATTAAAAAGGTTGAGAATCTCTGGTCTAGTGGAAGCAGTATCAGTAGAATTTTTAAAAAAGAAAAAAGGAGAGCGCTGTTCCATCTCCGACAAGTAGCCCGGGATAACCTGCAAGCACTCAAAAACAGAGTACTGGGAACGCCATCTGCTCGGTCCCTCGCATTTAACCCACGGGAGAATGGTCACGGCCGCAGTCTCCAAGGGACGATACCGGCCGGGTATTCAACACAGCCCTCAACCGGAGGATGACTCCCGCCCCGCGCAGTCACGACCACCACCTCACATCACAGCGGAATTCTGTCGCCCCCTTGATGACGCCGTCGCGGGCCCCCCGCGTACCTCAGTGACCATCCCCGAAGCCACCCAGTGGTTCAGCAGTAGCCCAGCCGCACTGGGCGCGGACGCCGGGTCCCACGGGTTCGCGGCAGCCATGGCTCCCCCACACCTCTGGAACTGGCGCGGGGAGTGAGAGGCACACAACGAACGGTCGCGCGGCTTGATGATGTCACAGGGCGTTCCCGCCCGGGCGGAAGCCCTGGGAGCGCGTCTCAGGCGAGCGCGGGTCCCGGGTGTTCCCTGGCGGAGCCTTCTCTGCACGGAGCTGTAGGAGGCGAGTCTCGAGCCCCTTGATCCGGCAGGGGCTACCGGAGGCTCCCTGGCCTTAGCTCGGCTTCCAAAGCAGCAGGACCTTGTGGTAGCGCTGTCTACCAGCCTGCTTTCTCCTTGCCACACTCTCTGGCTGCCCCCTAGGAAGTAGTGCTAGGCAGAAGGTGACAACTGGGACAGGAGACCCAAACGGGAGGTTTACCGGGTGGCTCTAAGTCTAGACTGGGCGGTGACAGCTACGCTTCTTTCCCGTAGGGAACTGAGCCGCGGCGCTAGAATGGGAAACAGTGCCCTCCGCGCTCATGTGGAAACAGCGCAGAAAACCGGTGTCTTTCAGCTTAAAGACCGTGGTCTGACCGAGGTGAGACGAGAGGGGACTCGACCGAGAAACTAAAAGGGAGAGGGATGGCGGGGTGGCGAAGTTATTGGTGCGGGATTTTCCACGCTGTGAACTCCTGTCTTCAGTTCCCCTCAGAGTTGCAGAAGCTGACAAGCAATCTAAGGACCATCGATTTGTCCAACAATAAGATCGACAGCCTGCCGCCTTTGCTTATAGGAAAGTTCGCTCTGCTGAAGAGCCTCTCCCTCAACAACAACAAACTGAGTATGGCTTTTGTGCTGGCTAGCTTTTGCTAGTGAGCAGCAAATATGAAGGGTGTTTTTCCTCTTACAAGCTGATTTTGTTATGAAATCAGCTCAGGAGATGCAGAATGTTAAGAGTATTGAAGCTTTCTGCCTATTGCAATTAAATCTACACGCCTCCTTGGATAGCATAATCATTACTACTAGGTTAATTTGGACTCAGAAGACTTATGAGATGAGGTGTAAACAGAGTTATCTAATTGGGGGCGGGAGTATGGAATGGAAGGATCTTCCAAATCTCCCTAGATTGTTTTTAGAATATACCGAGGCCCCTTTACAAAACGAAACTACTATACCCATAAATGTCTTTCTGCATTTTGATGGCTCCTTAGTCTTCTGAACACTGTTGGTAAAATGTGATACCTAAACGTGACGTGAGAATTCTATGTAAGAAGTGGGGACTGGTGATTTAGGCCTATGATCCAGCTAATCAAGAGGCTGAGGCAGAAGGATCATAATTTCAAGGCCAGCCTAGACAACTTAATGAGACCCTGTCTCAAAAATAGAAACAAAAACAAAATGAAGCAGACTGCACTGTCTTTTTATAAACTTCATTAGTTCAATCAGATTCTTAAACAAAAATTTTTTCACCAGCTGTTCTACCCGATGAATTATGTAATCTGAAAAAACTAGAGACTCTAAGTCTAAACAACAATCACCTGAGAGAGCTACCGTCCACCTTTGGGCAGCTTTCTGCCCTGAAGACCCTGAGCCTCTCTGGGAACCAGCTGGGAGCACTACCACCCCAACTTTGCAGCCTGCGGCATCTGGATGTAGTAGATCTCTCTAAAAACCAGATTCGGAGTATACTTGACACAGTAGGGGATCTGCAGGCCATCGAACTCAATCTCAACCAGAACCAGGTTGGTACTTTTATTTGTGTGTGTGTGTGAGAGAGAGAGGGAGGGGGGGAGAGGGAAGAGAAACAGAGGGAGAGAGAGAGAGAGAGAGAGAGAGAGAGAGAGAGAGAGAGAGCTCGCACTGCCCCCCTCCCCTGTGTATGTCTGGGTTTATGGTCTCCTAATCCTTTCCTGTTTCTTCAAGGACATCAGAGGCTAAAAGCTATATTCCATAAGCTGAACTTACTTCAATGCCCAATGTCAGGGAGTGCGTTGATAGTGACTATGTAATAGTGTTTAAGGTGTTTTGCAGAAGGCAGAACAGAGTAACGGTGAGATATTTACACACACACACTACTGGAAGTTTTGCAAATCTTCAGTTCCTTTTCACACCACCAATCACTTAGTGAGGAGCCAGGGCAGGGATGGTATAATAGAGGGATAAGACCTAAACCCATTAAATCTAAGATTCAGACATCTTTTTCTTTTGCTTGGTTAAATATGTATCCTTTTGTTGAAAAAATCCCTAAGTGACAGTTTTTCTGGAGCTAGCTTATCATTGCAACTTACATTTGAAATGTTTTGCCTTGTTTTTTTCTTTTTTTTAAATATTTATTTATTTATTATATGTACAATATTCTGTCTGTGTGTATGCCTGCAGGCCAGAAGAGGGCACCAGACTTCATTACAGATGGTTGTGAGCCACTATGTGGTTGCTGGGAATTGAACTCAGGACCTTTGGAAGAGCAGGCAATGCTCTTACCTCTGAGCCATCTCTCCAGCCCCCGTTTTGCCTTGTTTTGAATCTTCTTGGTTAACGTTTGGAAAAACACTCTGCTCTAGGCATGAGGCACCGCGATGAAAGAAACATGAGATTAGAGAGCCCTAGTTTCTGTAGCATTTATGTTCCCATATATGTCCAACTCATATTAGCCACCATGGACAGGTTACTACTGTGCTAGACCACAGTTAGCATTATTATCATATTCAGTCTGAGGTTGGCTTCATCTTTTCCCTGAGATTTTTAGGAAAAATGGTCATCTATTAAGCACCAAGTATTAGTTGATGACTTATTCTACATTCCCTATGGATTAGATATGCCATGTAGCTGAAAGGTTTCTCAGACCTTAATTGAATAACCTGGGGAACCTAAGGTCACCTTAGTGTTTGATTCGGTGAGAGGTCTAAGAATCTGTATTTGCAATAAAGTTCCCAGGTGAGGGTTGGAGATATGAGGTCATCAATAGAATATAGTGACCTGGGACTGGACAACAGCTGAGTGGTACAGTAATTGTGTGGCACACATGAAACTCCCGTTCATCCTACAGTGTTGGCAGGGGCTGCTTATTTGTCCCACCACCCAGAACCGAAATAATCACAGAAACCTTATTATTTAAATCACTGCTTGGCCCATTAGCTTTAGATTCTTATTGACTAATTCAATAAGTTAATTACATATTAATTCAACCCATTCTATTAATCTGTTTATCGCCACGTGGCTCTGGCTTACCAGCTAAAGTTCCTGTGTCTGTCTCTGGCGGGCCTACATGACTTCTCATGACTCTGTCTCCTTTCTCCCAGCATTCAGCTTAGTTTTCTCCACCTAGCTCTGTTCCCCTCTAGCTCTGCTATAGGCCCAACGCAATTCCTTTATCAGTGGTAATGACAGCATACAGAGGGAAATCCCCCATCACTGCAGCATGGGAAGACTTGGAGCATTTAATGGGCCAAGGAAGTGAATGGATCGAAAACAAAGTGTCTGATACTGACCTGGAGGGCCTACACAATGCTGTTGAATGGACATGCTGAGTTCATCACTTGATCATCCCAATGTTGTAGTGAAAATTATAGATACAAAACTGTACTGGACTATTGATTCAGATTTTGAGGTCATAAGTGAAATAGCTTTAAGAATGACTGTTTTCTAGGAGAAGTTTGAGAATGTAAAATATGAAGCGTCAGGGGTTTCTGCTTGAAAATAAGAAATAGATGTGGGCTGGAGAGATGGCTCAGAGGTTAAGAGCATTGCCTGCTCTTCCAAAGGTCCTCAGTTCAATTCCCAGCAACCACATGGTGGCTCAGAACCATCTGTAATGAGGTCTGGTGCCCTCTGGCCTGCAGGCATATACAAAGACAGAATACTGTATACAATATATATATATATACACACACACACACATATACATATATATGTGTGAAATGTTGTTTAAAAAAATAGATGTAAAAACAAAATCAGAAGAAATTCAAGAGGAAAAATCTAGAGTCATGCACAAGAGGGAGCCTCAAGGAAAGAATGGACGGCCCAGTCAGTGTAGCAGTGCTTGGGGATCATGGAACCTTGCCTCTGACAAAGGAGCAGCAGGTGTCAGAATGCTTATGTGGTTGTTTCTGAGTAGCAGGTTACTGGGAAACTTTTCCCTCAAACTTAATGATTCTCATGTTTTCTGTAATGAATGTACAGTGCTTTTATTATTAGTCTTTATTTCTGAAAAACAACTGGTAACCTTCACATCATTTGAAAGTGGAGGAGTAACAGAAGGCATGTTAACAGAGGCTTCTGCAACGAGTAGGTAGTGAGAAGATGGAGGCGGTAGAAGAGTAACTAGGACACAGGCGAGGTCTGTTTCAGTGTGGAAAGAAGCGGCCTTACGCTCTCTGCCCTCTGCTTTGTTGCTGGACAGATATCTCAGATCTCAGTGAAGATCTCCTGCTGCCCACGCCTCAAAGTCCTCCGCCTGGAGGAGAACTGCCTTGAGCTCAGCATGCTTCCGCAGAGCATCCTCAGCGACTCCCAAATCTGCTTGCTTGCTGTGGAAGGCAATCTCTTTGAAATAAAGAAACTTCGAGAGCTAGAGGGTTATGATAAGGTACGTATTAGCATCTTCTACATTTCTGGTGTCTTGCTGGAGAAAATGCTGAGGTAGCCTAGGTGATGTCTACAGTTGGCATCGCCAGGTTCACATTTTGGAGGCAGTTAAGACTTGGTCAGACTGTATTTGGCCAAGATGACTTTTTCCACATTCTGCATATTGTAAAGCATCTTTTTATGTTTCCTAGTAAAAGGCATAAAAAAAATCAATGGGCTTTAATAACTAAGTAGACTTTTCTGGGTGTGGTTGTATAACTTTAATTCCGGCACTTGGGAGGCAGAGGCAGAGGCAGAAGAGATCTCTGAGTTAAAAGATCATCCAGAGCTACATAGTGATAATCTGTCTCAAAAAAGCAGAGGAAAAATAAAAGTTAATTTTGCATGAAATGAACCAAGTCAAATTAGAAAGAAAAAAACATAAAAACCTAAGTTTAAAAAATACCCTTATATTTGCCCATAAATACCGTATGTATATTTTTCTCTTGTGTTTTTAGTACATGGAGAGGTTCACAGCCACCAAGAAGAAGTTCGCATGATGTT